GGTGGACAGGGACAGAGAGAGAGAAGGACACTGACCGGTGGACAGGGACAGAGAGCAGGGAGCAGTCCAGATGGGCACCAGCGGAGAAATGGAAGTGGAGCAGGCGGAGCCAGAGACGCCCGAAGACTCTGGGTCCCTGGAGAAGGCCCCGTCAACTCCCTCGAACCCCGGGCCACCCGAGCCCAGTGACGACGCTTCCTTGCTCCGGACCTACAAGTGGCACACGGGGGTCCGCTCGCCCTCCGAGACAGCGGGGGCGCCTCCGGCGGACAAGGGCGCCAGCGGCAGCGCCACGGCCGCCCAGCCCTCCAAGTGGAGCAGAATGCAATGGCGCAAGGCTCACAGCGAGGACCCGCAGGACAGGGTGGCGCCCCCTAGCAAACCGGAGGACGCCAAAGGCGACAAGCCCGCCTCTGCGCCCCGGAAGAACCCCTTCCGCCGAGCCCTGTCGGAGCCCCCCGGGGCCCTCTTCTCCACCGCCCCCGCCCCCGCGCGAGGCCAGAGCCCCCCCGCCGAGGGCCGCGGCTCCCCGGCCCTGGGGCCGCAGCAGAAGGGGGCCCTGTTTCGGAAGTACCTGCGCTCCGTCTCCCAGAAGTTCAAGAAGCCGCGCGCGGCCGCTGGGAAGAGTGGGAACAGCGCCACCTGCAGCACAGAAGGTGAGGGGCAGCAGACCGGCCGCTGAGCTTCTCTCCTCGATAGCCTTCTGTCTGGAGCGCACTTCCTGTCTCTCTCTCACGCACTGACCAGTCCTCAGGGCTCACACACACACTGGGGGCTCACACACACACACTGGGGGCTCACACAGCTTCTGGGGCTCCCCCTCATACTGGGGACTCACATAGCTTCTGGGGCTCCCCCTCACACTGGGGGTCCCACATACACTGGGGGCTCCCACACACACTGGGGATGTATGTCACCTACTGGGTTCCCTCACGAGGATGTTGACTCCCAGCTGGGTTCAGTCGCTGGGAGTTCAGTCAAAACCCATCTGCCTTGACTGAAATGTCCCTGAACAGATGGGTTTCCTTGACTGACACAGCACAAAACTTCCACCTCTCTGTCGGTGTCAAATTCATGGCTGGTACACGCTATAAACGGTTACACAGCAGCACAAGCATTTCCGGGGGAGCGAGACTGCAGGATTCTGGCCTGGTGGGGAATTTGAGACGTGACTTCAGTTTAATCAAAGTAGGTCAGATGGAAGAGGCCTCCAGTTGAGAAGCTGCTCATGTTGGTGCTGTAGCCCCACCTAGTGGTAGACGTGAGTCATTGTTTGTTTTCTGAGATCAGAAGGAGAGGGGAGGAGAGAGGGGAGGAAAGAGTATATTTCCGTTTTGTGTTACTGCAAACTTTCTGTACTTGAACTCACTGTAAAGTACTTTTTTTGTACTTGCATGTTGTTTGATATGGCTGATCAGCTCCTGCAGAACACGTTTACTTACTTTTACTGTCCGGCGGGTAGAGGACATAACCCAACACATAACACACTGAACACAACACGCACCCATTAGCAAATAAGAGACAAGCTGTGATGAGAAAGAAAACTAAATATGTGAATAAAGTCAAACATACAATTCACTGTGCAGATGAGGGCAGCACTCAGCTCATCGTGCTGGTCGTATGGCTCAGTAAGCATACTGGTCTGACTGATCACTCTGCGCTGCTGGAAGGATTGCTGGTTATCAGCGTCCACAGCTCTGTTCCAGACTCCCCCTGAGCTGTGTGCTAAAGAGTGCCTCCTGCTCTTAAATACTTCCACTGGTCCTCTAGGCTAACAGACTCCAAGAGGCACACGGTCAGGAACCACTCAGGATCCGGAGCCTGAAATTCCTTTGTCTCACTCTGTACAGAACCAAACTCCTCTGTCTCACTCTGTACAGAACTGAACTCCTGTCCCACACTGAACAGAACCGAACTCCTCTATCTCA